CTATAGTCCGTCGCTAAACGCTGTTTTTTTAGTAGTGTACGCTTTAAAAGTGTGGTCCATGAGTTAAAAAAGCTACGCTTTTATCACCACATATAACGCTTCTCATAATCTCAAACTACATTTTGCAAATGTGACCTTTGATACCTTAAGCCATAGATGCAAAATGTGGCTATTGCTATCTCCTCTAAAGCAACATGTGTGATGTGTAGTCTTTCCTAATGTACCATATTACAATTTACAATCAATAAGCCACACAAGCAATGTCCCTATAACGACACTTTCAAAGCATGATATTTTGTATATGTTAAAAGAATATAGTTAAAAAAATTGTACCCTACAAATGTATGAATTTACAGTACACTTCAACAAAGCAATATAGGTCTTTTACTACACATACAAATAAAGAGATGTTTCAAGATATACACTTGCAAAGAATTCCAAAAAATTCAATGTAGATTCAAACATCAAAATTATTCAAAAAGTCTTCATATATAATAGCCATGCAGCTGTGCATATATCTTAGCTCCTTGCTTTCTTGTATGCTTCCTTAGGACATTATACCACATCTATGACGGGAGAATAGTACAATTAATGCTATTTGTCTATTTATCCTTATATGTTGTTTGACAATCTTCACCTCACTTACCTGTATATCTACAACATAAAGGAAATAAAAAAGGACTGTTAAATTCTCTAACTTATCTTCCTTGGTCAATAAATGAAATGAATCACATATAAGACCAAAGAGAAAAAAGTTGTGTACTTCTAATTAATGACATAAGATGTTTTTCAAAATGATCAAAATGATGAGCTATAATACTGTTGAGCATGTAAAGAAAAATATGTTGTACTTATCATAATAGACACAGTAGAATATCTGAAGGCATAGAAGTTGTTATTGGATACAACAATATGAAATTGTGGCAAATCAAATCATTATGACAAAAATACGATAAGCATAGGAAAGTTTCGATTTCAAACCAACCATTGCTTCAGGCAAGGAGGTGAAACATATGCTTGCTGGGAAACTCTTGCATCTTGTAATCTAAAACTAACACCTCCCTGAAAATTGGATACTCCATATATGTACCAAGCTTCATCAAGAACTCATTTATGACAATAGTAACTGGGAGGTTTGCCATGACTTGTTTACTGGCAGGTGGTGCTCCCAGGGCAGCAACACCATCGTCCAACATCTTAAATAGAACAAATTAGAATCGTCTTTAGTTCAAGGCAACTTGTATTTTCCTAAGTAAGAATGAATCTAATTCCCCTATAAGAAGTTTTCTTTTTATTTAAATAAAGAAAAGCATACCTCCATGGTAAAACATGGTCTAGTGTTGAATAAAATTTTCAATTCAAGAACATTTTCCCCAGATAGCTATGTATGTATTAAATAAGTGGTTAGCAAATGAGAAATAAAACAAGAGTGGATAAAGTTAATTGTTTAACTCAATTTTTTTTTATATTGGAGGTCACGTGAGAATGCAATAAATTTGTAGGTTAGGGAACTCCAAACAACACACCTTTGACATATTGTTGCTCAACTGACTGAAAACTACAGGCTACAGTTGTATTTAATACGAGGAGTAGATTAAAACTAGAGATACCTCTGATATTATATCATCCACTCTAGCAACCAGTTGCTCAAGTACTTTGAGAGAACCCTAAGTATCACAAACATTGCTGGATCACCTTGAGAAGATTCACCAGGAAGAAGTGTTGCAGCAGCAGTGAGAAGATTAGACATCTTGAGCCAAGCAGGTTGTGTCACTCCCCGAGCCTACACCCTAGACCTGGCCGGCACTCGAGAGCCATTGCTGGCCCCAAGCGAATCCTTGGCTTTTGGGGGTAAGCTTTCAGTCATTTCTTTCGGTAATCATTTTATCATAATACTCTTTTCTTAAAGGTATTAGTCTAATTATTTCTTTTATATTTTCTAGAATGTATTCTATATATTGTATATCTTGGGTTCTTTGATATGTATCTATATTTTCCTTTATTAGATTTCCTAATAAAGCGATATCTTCAATAGTTGCTTGCCAATATTGGAAGTATTCGTAATTTATCATTAGTCTGAACAGTATTCTAAGTCTAATATTTCAAAAATATTAATTTGTTCTAGTTCATATATTTCATCTATTTCATGCCAGGTTTGGTTTATTAGTTCTTCATCTTCGGGGTCAAATATTTTTTCCCATATTATTCTCCTTAATTCTATAATTTCTATATCTTTAAGAATATATAAAATCAGTGTTTCATAAGCTAATATCATTTCATCATGTAAAGAGGTAGTCATATTGATATTTTGCTGTTTAATCAATAATTCCCTTATACCATATGCATAATAAATATTATTCATATTAGATTACTATAAACTAGATTATTTTCAACCATGTTTCCTTGTCACTACTAACATCGTACTTTCAAAGGTACTCTCTTCCTAACAGCGCCTCAACTCTATTTACTCCCCTCACGGCTTCCTTGCCTATGGTTTCAACTTTAGGATGACATAGTTTTGAAAGTTTTTCTTTTTTTCCTCATGTTAGCAAACTAGAAAACATACTTCAAATAATTCTAGTGTATAATAACTAATATAAACTTATTTAATCATGCTAATGATTTTCAAGAATTAACAGATTTAGCTATGCATAATCATAAATAGATATACATGTGTGATATCTGGAATATTTTGATCCATAGCTTAGATTGGAAACTTGATATTTTATTGAGTATTTTTGTTTACAAGGAGGCTTGCTTTCCGTCGAGAAAGTCTTGCCTTAGATGTGCCTATACTATTTCTACTTTACATCTGTCCTATACTATTCCTACTTTACATTTGTCTCCTAATTATTACTTTACAGAGCACTACGTTTTAATAATGCACACTACTTTACACTTGTCCACTAATTTACATAAGATTCCTAATCCCACTATCTTTTATAATAAGTCAAATAATAAGACAAACAACTTTACTTTATTTTATCTTGCTTTTTATCTTGTCGTTGGCTTTTTATTCTAGCTGGACAGCTGTAATTACATTGTCTTCTCCATAGCATTTTGAGCATTGATGATCTGGGTATCTGTGTCCAATAGTTTTGCAATAATTTGTCATTATCTCTGGTGAAATAAAGTTCTTCCGTATTGCTCTTGTAGTTGGTTGTTGCTCTGGTTTTAATAAACTTAGTATCCATTGTCGTATCTCTTTCATATCTGCTTCTCTAATTTCTCTGGAATTTGAGTATATCATAGTTTGTTCTCTTGCATAATAGCTCCATACTGAATTTCCATTTAAATAATTGGTTGTTAATTCGTTCAAAATAGTAGCTATTCCAATAATCCTCTTTCTTGCATATAATTCTGGTATTTCTATCTTTTGTATCTCGTCTTGTCGTTCTATTTTTTCTGGTATTATCATTTCCCTAGTTAGTCCGATTTTTATGACTTGTATGATAGGTTTAATTTCATCATACAATATTTCTGCTGGTGCTGAGTAGAATTTTATATAGAAAAGTGTTCCTTTAGTTATTCTTTTATAATGCATAAATGCCTTGTGTAGCTCCGGTATTGTTGATATGTCATCTCCAGTTTGGGTATATACGATACCTAACAATCCATAGTTGTAGCAAGTTCCTACTAAATTTGTACTTGTCCCTGGTTGTGCAATCAGTTTGTTATATCCTTGTAGGTTTTGTGTGATGTAATCTTCATGGGGATTTTTTGTATTTTTGGATCTTGGATTTTGGTTTAGAAAAGTCTGTATTTTATGGATGTTTTCTATGTAGGGTCTGGTTATATGGTTATAAGTCTTTTTGTTTTGTCCTAGGCTTTCTTTGTAGGTATTTGTTGTGGTGGTATGAATAATGGATCGTTTTGGTTTTTTGACATAAATGGTTTTTTGAACATTTTATTCATATTGGTATTGACATATCTGGTTTTATTTTCTTCTTTTGTTGCAGATGTGCTTCCTGTAGCTGCACGTAAAAAATTATTATGGGTTTTTAGGTGTTTCCCAACGTCACCTTGTAGCTCTGGATTTTTTAAGTCTTCTGATCGACTTAGCTCCGCATGTTTATAGTCATGCTGCTGACTTTTTATTTGTTGTAGCTCTTTGTCTATGTTTTCTACTTTTGTACAAAGTAGAGTCATAGCTTTAAGTATTTCTTCCAGAGTATTTTCGTTTTCAGTCTGTGTAGCTTTGTCTTGAGATGTAATCTGCAATGACATTCTTGTTAGGAAATATTACTTCTATTGTAAATGTAAAATTTAGTATATTTAATACTAGTCTTCGTATCTCTTTGGTTGTTACTGAATCTTGTACCTCTCTTGTTATCCACCATTTTACCTGCGTATTATCTGTTCTTACAATAAATTTGTTTTATACAATGTATGGTTCAAAAGCTAATAAACATTTATATATTGAATATAATTCTTTTCTATTTATTTCCCATTTTATTTCGGGATTTGTAAATGTTCCTGAATAATATCTGCAATGATGTTCTATTTTTTTCTTATTATATTTATATTTTAATACTCCTCCGTAGCTCATTTCGCTTGCATCTGTTTCTACTATATATGTAAATTCTTTATTTTCATCTGGAAAGCATAATTTAGGTAATTTTTTGCATAATAATTTTATTTTCCGTATTTGTTCTTGGTCTTTATTGTCAAAATGATACTCTACGTCTTTCTTTAATTTCTTATGCAAAGGTTATAAGTTTTCTGCTAGATTAGGTATATATTCTCTTACCTGATTTACTAATCCTAGAAACGATTGTAATTTCTTTTTCGTATCTATTTGTTCTTCAAAATTTATTATCTTTTGTACTATGTGTGTTTGCATTTTTATACCATTTTTATCTATTTGTATTCCTAGAAATTCTATTTGTGTTTTCATTATTTCTGCCTTTTTCTTACTTAGACTTATTCCTGAGTTTGTTATAATATGCATAAATTTTTCTAGCAATTTTATATGTTCATCTTGAGTCCTTGAATATAATAATATATCATCTATGTATACTATGCAATTTTCTAATTGGTTAAAGTAATTATTCATGAAATGTTGGTATCTTCCTAGTGCATTTTTATATCCAAAAGGTAATACATTCCATTCATAAAATTCTTGTGGTACTGTGAAAGCTGTTAACTTTTTAGATTCTTCTTCTAATTTTAGATGGTAAAATCCTGACTTACAATCAAACTTGCTAAAGTAATTGTATCCTTGGACTTGTCTTATTTTTAATACTTTGTTTGGTATTGGCGAATTATATGTTTTTGTTTTTGCATTTAGATTTCTATAGTCAATAACCATCCTGCTTTTTCCTCTTTTTTGTTCACTATGTTTGTTTACTATAAATGCTGGGCTTGTATGTTTACTATTGCTTTCTTGTATATAATTATTTTCTAGTAATTCTTTTATATGCATTTTGAATTCTGCCAAATCATTAAAATTATATTTTAATGGTTTTTGGGTTATTATGCTATTTTCATCAATTAATTCTATTTTTACTTTTGTTTTGTGTTTTTCCCATCCTTTTAAGGGATTTTCACTATATAACGGTTCTAGTTTTTCTTGAATTATTTTGAGTTTTTCTATAGAGAATACAATTAATTCGATATTATGGTTACTTTCTTTAATATTTTCTAGTTTTTGGGTAATCTTTTCACTTCCTTTGATCCATGGTGTGGTTTTCCTATTTTTGTTGTTTACTCTTTTTGCTCCTACCTTTTGTTTACATGGTGTAGTAAACCACCAGTGTGTTTTTGTTATCACATGGGGATAAAGTTTTTCTAAGAATGACATTCCTAAATGCATATCCTTATTTATGAATTCGTAACTATATATGTCTTCTATAGTTAGTATTTTATCCCATATTTGTAATTTTATATTCTTTGCTTTATATGTTAATCATACTTCCTTCATTATTGAATCCTGTTACTACTATGGGTGTTTTTAGCTTTTCCCATTTTTCTTCTGGTAGGCAACTGTGTTTGCACATATTAGCTTCTGCTCCTGTATCTAACATAGGGGTATAATATATATTGTAGTAATTTTCTACTATTATTTTTGCAAGTATGTATATTTTCATATTACTCTTTTTATTATGACTTTCTTGTGTTTATATGTTATGGTTAATTGTGTATTTTCTAAATTATATGGTTTCATTTCTTCTAACCATTTTATTCCTAATATTATATTATCTCCTTGGTAAATTTTGAATTTTATTGGTATTATTATTCCTCCAATAATTATTTCTTTTTCTGCTATTTCATCAGAATTTATTAACTCTTTTGGTAATTCTGGACACATTCGTTCTTTAGAGGTTATTTCATCTTCTGTAACTAGTTCTCTTGTTATATAATTTTCTTCTTGATCAGTGTTTATTATTATAATATACTTCCTTTGTTCTATTATTCCAGTTATGTAGTAATGGTATGGTTCTACATCTTTTATCATTTGATAGTCTATTGATTTTCTTGAAGGTTAAGGTGTTTCATTACTATAATTTATTCCTTTCATTCTTTTTGATGTGCTTATTCTGTCACTTACTATTTCTAAATCTTCTTCTATATCTATTTCTCTATAACTGTAATCATTATTATCTATTATTGTAACAATTTGTTCAAAAGAATTTTCTATCTTTATTCTATTTATTTTATTATTTGCTGTTATTTTGTGTTTTGTTATTAATACATATAGATTTTTACATCTTGCTGAAAATATCTTGCTTCCTGGGGCTAACTCTATTCCTGACATTTTCCAATACA